GGTTCTGAATTTAACATTCACCCAAGTTTTATCGATTTTTAATTTGCGTCGTTCAAATATTAATGAATTTCTCTTGGTAATTCTATTGTTCGGAGAAAAAAAAAATTATGTGCCAATTTACAGAGCAAAGAATATACAAATATCACCGCAGTTACGGAGTTATGTGACTCAACCCCGATACACAATGGAAGTGATGGATGCAAACAGAAATCCGGCAGAAGTGGTACAGATCGGTGATGAAGGCTATCTTTTACTAACATTACATGATGTATTCATTTATTTCTGGCCTACATGGAATTACATCTTTAAATGTTGCATAATCTTAATTTATGCGGATACTTCCACGTTTGAATTGAAGATTTCATTATTTTATTACCCATCGTTTTAGAAGCCAATCAAATTTTCGATAATTGATTTATTTGCTCGTGACACGCAAAGTGGCAGAACTTTTACAATCATCGATTCTGATGGGTTAGAAGATTTTTCAACTTTGCTAAAATTATATTTTTTCGGTCACGCTCGTGTCATTAATTTTATTTTTCCTTGCAGCTGCGCTGTTCCAAATGGAATGCTCAAAGACACTGATAGAATTGATAAGAATCATTTGCAGTTAACCCTCGTCTTTAATGGTTTCTCGGATGAGGTGATATTATCTGCCCAAGAATTCGTATATTTAAAAGTTTTGCAAGATTGTGTCAAATTTTTAGATTTTTTGGCGAGTTTTGGTATTTGTTTTGCACTGTTAATATGTTTAGGCCGATATTATCTATGAAGCTTATGCTATACCTTGCGACGAATTTTGTGGTCCAAATAGTTGCAGCAAAATGAATTCCATAAAAAACCAACAAACAAAGTATAACATTTGTAAATATTGTTGTAGGAATATTTTAGATATATTGATTTTGCTCCGAATAATTTCTAGTATTCTGAAGTTTTGATTATAAAATTTTGATTACAGAATTAAAAGTAGAGTAAGGAAGAGGCGATCAGTGACGACACAGTCTGAATCACGACTCTTTGAACTTTCTGGAGATATATACGCTGTAAAATCATCAAATAAGCTCAAGCTTAGAAAGAAGTCATGGAAAATAAAAACAGGTACGACTCCTCAGTAGCTCAGATTACAATCGTCAAACTTCATATTTAATCTGACATATTGCATCCTTACCCTCAAAATGATTTGCACTCGGTTTTATTTTTGTTAGTTTTTAAAAATTTATTCGATTATTTGAGTAAATTTTCTAGAAAGTAATGATATACGACCAAAGTCAGTCGTAACGCTTTACGAACAATCGTTAACAGACGTCAGTGATAGCGTAAGTTTAAATATGACAAATTGTTGCTAGTGTTAGAAGTAGCAGAATATTGAGCTTAATTTTTTACTTTATTTTTAAAATCATCTGTTTACCTTTGACCCTCACTGTAGGCAGAAGGAAAGTCCACCACAGTAAATCAACTGGTATGTATTACTGACGATGTAAAATGTTTAATAGTTTTTTTGGCACTATGTCTGCAGGCCTTAGTGTTGGTTGCTATCATTGCTGTAACATACACTACCATTCAGGTACTATTTTCTTGATTGGAGTAGGTCAAATTTCTCTCTTGACTTTTTTGTTTTTTTTTGAAGAATCCTTCTTTAACACTTGGGAATGAAAAAAAAACGAGTTTCACTGGATTGATGAATATAATAAGCGAATACATTAAATTAAGTGGATAAACATATTAAATTGTATTTAAATTAATAGCACTGGATGCGACAACAAAGGAACCCAGAAATTGTCGGACTAAGTCAAAATATCGACAATAAACAAGAGACGATCAGAAGACTGTCGAGAAGTTGAAATCTTGTAGTAACTGATGTTTGTTGCATTCTAAGGTGAGCTGAACAGTTATGCTGAATTGAGTAATAATTGAATAATTCTCCTTTCAACTATTGTTGTGCTATTTGCTTCTGCAGAATGCCGTTTAAAGCTATTGTAAGACAAGCGAATTCGCAGAAGTATTGTTAGAAACTCGACTTTTTGTTATTAATCAGTAACAAAATGATACTTTATTGTGTCGAAGTAATAGAGGAAAGGCTTATCGGTAGTGTAATACGAATAGAAGCTAAGAGAAGAAACTGTACAGCATAACATATTCGTCGTGCTGCATAAAAGAGAGCTCATAGGTAATGCTTTACAGGTAAATGGAGTCGGTACACTTAGTTTTATCCAATTGCTGTTTGCTTGTTTTTACTCAGTGTCAGACTTATGATTTATCCATCCACTCCATGTCATCTAAATTTGATGCACACAACTTGGACTTTTTGGCTTAACAGTAATGAATAAATATTAAACGTTTTTTTCCAATTTCAATATATATAATCAGAAATCTGGACCTTACTATGGAAACACCATTCTCGATCACTTATGTGAATTTCTATGGCATAACATCAGGCACTGTGCATGAACAATTTTGACATTGCAGCACTGAAATTTGACCTATTTTTATTAAATTAGTATTAAAAATTAATAAATTTAACTCGTTATCTCATAGTTATCGGTTAATCTGTCATAAAACTGGGACTGGATGATGTATTGCCAAGTCTTCACACTACTTATCGCACTAATATGGAAGGATAAAGAAATGTGAGAATTTCGCAGCTTTCAAAGCTTTAGGAGCATTTCGAGGTGTTCAGTGTCTGAGGTATATGACGAAAACAATATAAGCTTAATTAATTTCGATTACATGAATTCATTGAACAACTAATGAAGTGAACTATTTCTAAGGTTTTGTGCGTCGTATGTGGGAAATGAAACCTGAAGGTATACCTTATGATAGTTAATCCAGAAACCATCAACTGTCATTTTTCTTCTACTCACGTGGGGCTTGTCATAATAGCATTTTGTATGCAAACTTTTCCAATAAACAAAATAAGCAAATTATGAAATAATATCTGACAACGAGAACTGTTAATGCAAACAGTGATATGATGTCATATCAAAAAACTACCTTACTTTCAATATTTAGAAATTAATAATTTTTTAAAAAACAAACCTAGCGAGTAATCCTTGTCAGAAAAAATGTTCCTTTATTTTCAATTAAATGTGCCATATAATCTTCCGTTCTCATATTATTACCATATATTTAGCACATCTGCATCGTTTAAGGCATACCAATGATTAATGATCATGATTAATGTCCACAAATGAATGCATTGGAATCAATGTCAACGATTAAAACGAAAAAAATTTGAATATTTGTTTAAGTTTATTATTTCTTCCTTTTGTCATGTGAACTTTTCAAGTGAAGATGAGATCACAAAACCATTAATATTTACACTGCGCACTTTCACAAGGAATCAGCGAAATATATGAAAGATAAGGATTAGCGTTTTTGATCTTTCTTCAGTCTAATGGAAACTGTACATCCAATTGCTCCCTTTGATTAGCCAATTGTTGAATTTTAATTGCACAGGTTCGAAATGAAAAGAAAAGATCAGTTTTATCCAAGAGCTATTATTTCCCGTAGTACGATAAAAAAATAAAGGTTGTTTATCTTATCTGAATGGAATCAAAAGATAACGAATACTTCCTAGTTTTTTAATCTAGTAATGAAGAATAATTCTGGTGCAGGAAGTACTCTATTGAAGTGAAGCTTTCTTCTTAAAAAATATTATGCATGCAGTCCATGTCAGAAATTTAATGCTGTACCATAAGCATTATTCTGATTAGAAAGGCACTAACGGGACATAAAACATTATTTCCGATATATTTTTCGTCAAAAACTTCCAGATTCCATTTCACTTCTTCCTGTTATTTTTTGCCAAATCATGCAGTCAGATTTTATGTTCAGTTGTAAATGGAAGAGAATTAACAGTAGAGAAAAGTGTCCCTTTACGTTAATGGTTAGTATCTTTTCCCGTTGTTCTCAGTGATATCTCTCATTTTATTCTCTGTTTCATTTCCATCAGTTCGACAAAACGAAAAGATTAAAAAAATTTCAAAAAAATGTATAAAACACTCACCAACATAATTTATCTGGTTGTAATTTTCAAGTTCATGTCCCGATCTCAATTGTCCAATCCTGAATTCTTCTGCAAATTTCATTTCATCCAGATAATATCGATCTTTCTTTCTTTCTTCCTTCCCGCAAATGTGTTCATTCTTTAATGGTGAAGCAAGAAAAACAACACTTTTTGGTACCTTGAAACTGCAGTAAGAAAGTCATTTGATGGGCACTCATTCTCTCAGTAATCTATTCACAATTTAAGCTACTTCAATGATGTGGAGAAAGAAAATATGTTATTATTGAATATCCACGGTTCAGGTGCACATCGTTTTACAATAAAATCTATATAATCTTTAAAGATGTTTATAGTGATTTCCAACTCTTTCAAATGAGCGATAATCAATAAAATCAATTTTTAAAACTTGGAATTTCATAAAAAGGGAAGGCTGCAATATAAAGGTGTTCATACTAGAAATTTAGAAATAATGCATTTAGCGGGATAGGATTTCCGCAAAGTGCAATTTCAGCCAGTAAGTCATCATCTAAACAGAATATAAAATTTGAGGATTGAAGTTTAAAATTTTAGAAATAAAAATTTAGTAGGCTTCAAACACCTACTTAATCATGGTGAAAAAACTCGAAAAAAAAAAAGACATTTGCATTAGCCCGCTAATCATTAATCATTTTGCTCTATTATCAACGATGCATATCTTATGTCACACAATTTTTGCATGTTTATTCTGATCGATTAAGAGGTCACTTTAAACTATGAGCACCTTGATCTCGAATGCTACAGAAATTAAGAAATGGTAATTACCAGATTTTTGTGATATCACGACATTATTTACACACTTCTCAATTTGTAATCCCGTAATGGACTCATACTCCCCACTCATTTTCACTGAATTTGAACATTTCGATCTTTTCACTGACTGTAAAAGTGTTATTCATATTATGAAGCAGATTTTTTACTGCAACAAAAAATACGAAAAAATAAACGCCTCTACATTTTATACAATAGCATACGACAAATTTACTTTCAGTGAGAAGATTTCACTGCGATTTAATATATTTATTGATAGCGCACCATTAGCACTTGCAACTACTTCACCTTCCTCCGTAAGTCTCAATGTTGTGTGTTCGAATTTCGGTGTCATCATTTCATTAGCTAGAACGAATAAACATTTAAATCGTTTTTCTTTTTTGGAAGGGAACAATGCTGGTTTCACTACATTCTTGTTAACCAACCAGTTCTCTACTAATTACCGCATTTTACAATACGATTTCTGAATGTCCTGAAAACTCACTGAATTGCTATGGAATAATCAATATCACCGATGAGAGAAAAATTGTTGTAACCTTGACAGACCCAGAACTGTAAATCACCCGTGGCAAAGTATTCATACAACAAAACCTGACCAGAAACAACTTTGAATACTTTTCGATATGCATTACCACCCTTTAAGGTCAAGACTTCAGATATGGCATGCACTGAATTCCTTCTCCATATTTGTCCGCTTTCCTGAATGATCAATTTCAACAAATGCTTCCGTTGCGTAATACAGGAAGAAGAAATTTTGTCAGCCTGATAGTTGAAAGTATTTATCACAATCTAACCTGATAGTCGAGCGGTGTAATTGGCTTAGCGGGCATGCACGTATTATCAAGTGCCTTCGGCATAAAAAGTTTTCTGCCGCAAGCTACTGGGATAGAGTCAGTTGATAAATATGGTAATAAGTCGTTCGGCAAGTTTTCCGCAATGGTGAAGCGATTAAATAGTTTTGAAGTAGCGCTGCCATTATCTATGAGGTATAAAACATTACAATTAGATGATTGGGATGATTGTAAAGTTTGATAGATCATAAAATTTTTGAATTGACACTTTTGCCAACTGACACTTTTTAAAAATTTTTTATTCAACCTTTCTCATAGGGCGCAAAAATGCTGACGAATTAACGATAATGACACGTTTTAGCAATACACGGTAATAATCTAACCACAAATGAATCCAATACTAAAAATAATGGCAGGTGATTGTGGAAATTATAATATCATCCTTAAATTGGTCAAAGTGGAAAAACAACGGTACAATAAAATTGAAGTTTAGTAGTAACAAGACCTAACTTTTAAAAATTAAATTTTAGATGATATTCTAAACAGTTAGTTCAGTCTAGTTCAACTAAATTTCGTGTAAATGCAATATAGATTTTGTTCACTTTAAACTAGTTTTATGCACTTGGAAAATAAAAAATGGAATAGAAGCATAAGTTTATTGATCGCCCCAAAAGGATTCATGTGGGATAGAAATGAGTATCCTTTTTGGTCAAATATACAAATAGCATACGATTGACGACCAGTTTTCTTTTCATTTTCCAAAACCAAATTTTGGAAATATTCACAAAAACCAAAAATTACATTCAAATAATCAGATACACGAACAGCTTTCAAAAACTGTAAGTAATCATCATGTGAAACCTTCCCGCACTTTTTATGACAATGAAATCTCTTCGCAGCAGTCAAATTGGTTAAAAGACAATTCTAAGCGGAATTTAATCATAACCTTAGTTTTAATCAGTTCTTCACCAATAGTTTTTAAATTGTATTTCCAGCCAGAAAAATCAAACCTTTTCAGGATTTTCAATAGGCATTTCCATGAATACTAAGCCATTATCTACATCCTTAATCAAATACCTTGTTATTTTAGTTTGCGTTAGAAAGCGGCCGTATTTGCGAATCAACGGGTGCTGGTCAATGTTTTCAGTATTTTTAGAATTATTGTATCTGAACTAAAATCCAAATTGAAGTTTCCGAAAAAGTGAAAGAGAGAGGACTTGACAAAATGCATTTTTGAATCAAATATGAGAATTTATACTTAAATTTTATTGAATTAAACTTTTACAAACCCATTCGAGCATTCTGCGAGTTTCCAAATATTCTTCAAATTTGGATACACATGCTTCCAAATCCTAAAAAAAACCACTGACTATCATACTGGAGAGAAGTAAGATGAAAATTATAATGGAATTTTTGCAAATAAATATAATTGGGTGATTACGTGCTCATATGCATCAATCCATCGTTGCAGTTGGAAGTCCGTGTTTAGATCTTTTGGAAGTTCTTCACTGAGACGTACACGCAGCTTCTGCACGAGTTCATTCATACCGAATGTAGTCCGAATACTTCTGAAATTTTGGATACGCATAAGGCTTTTGAAAATTTCATTCGAGTTTTAAGGAATAATGCGGTATAATTGCTTGTCGATGATTTATTCATACTAACAAAAATCATTGATGTATACGTTTTGCAGAGAGTCAATTTCTTTAGACTGTATCGAACAAATCATCGTCAAAACAACTTAAAATTCTTTTTTAGATCAAATAAAAAAATATCGTGCTGAGAATAAAGTAAAAAATGATATTGAAGTTAAATAAGTGATCATATCAAGGGACGAATTCATCTGTTATATTATGCAGAAAGGAAAAGTGATAATTTCAACACTTTTTGAAATGAATTGGATTAATTGTCTAAAAAGGTAGCCAAAGAATTTTAGACGCTAGAGTGATGGCATGTCGATTAGATAAGATGATAATATGATGGTTGTACAATGGCAAGGAAGAGCGAAGGCTCATAATCAAGATATGATCTCAGTAGGTTAGCTGAAAAGGAAATGTTTAACGAGTGCAGATTAGCCGTAATCGTATCTGGTCTATTGTGAAATTTGTGCAAATTCCCATTATACACCTAACCTCTTGTTCCATTGGGATTTGTGACATATCAAAGCTTTTGATTGCCTCGTCATAAGCGAACTAATAATATTCACATCATTTAAGACTCAGTTTAAATTCCACATCAGAGAATCCTTTAAATGTCAAACACTTCATCATCGATTTTAAAGCATATGGAATGATATCCTACGTAAATTCGACAAGTGCCGTTAGTTAGCTTATGTCGTAAAAAAACAATACATTTGAATTACATTCAAATTCTAATACTTTTTGCCAGATGTCTGATAAGTCAATCACCAAATAATTCCGCATTTGTGACTAATCTATGTCTAGATCATTTAAGCCATTATGCTAATTACTTCCTTTTTCTCACGCAGTAAGAAACCCCTTGTTAGCTAATCTTTGTTTCACATCAGTCAAATGTCCTCTGCCGGATATCCGGTTGTCAATTCAGTTTTGTATATAAACTAACCAACCATCCTCCATTACGGTTATTCATTCTACATTTTGGGGTGGTTTTTGATATTATTTCAGTGTTTTTATAATTATATTATATCTTTCGTTACGCGTTGTTATAATGTTGATTTGTTGGTTTAATTACCCAAATTTGAGGCAAAATAAAATATCTGGCAGTCAATACATTCCACGACAGCTTAGAGTTTGCTTTTTTTTAATAAGATTTCCCAAAGTTTCGAGACAAAATTAAATTTCCAATTTTATTTCAGAACAAGTGTGCCTCTTGATCACCTTACATCGATTTTGAAATATGTAAGAGAAATACAAGCAAATTTAGCAAGAAATATGAATGAAAATATAAAATATCTTAAATAAATTTTAAATAAAACAAAAGTTACTGCAAAAAAAAAAAAAAAAAAAAAAGAGTTTTAATACTATTTGTTTCTAATCCATGGTAATAATTGTGAAAAAAAAAAGTAATTTTTGAATAATGAAGATTATTATATTACAGATAATTACACCACCACTGAGAATCCCAGAACCAAATCATGGCAAACAACAGTTTAAGACAGAAGAGAGAACAGGAGAAGGCACTGAGGCACTGCTTCTTTCATTTTGCATCCAATTTGCTGCAACCTATTTTTTAGTCTTTTGTAACCTGTTTGATCTGTCCTAGATATATTTAGTATCGCCTAAACACAGCCTCTGCTGTCAACACTTCGCAACTATGAATTTGCAATCATTTCGCATTATCGATAGTCATTATGTCGTTGAACTTGCTTGAGGCGTTCTTCGAAAGAAATTGACGTGAAGTATTGAAGGAAAGTTGTCGACAAGATTTTAATTCCGTTTCTCAATATTTTTTTCCCACAAAATCTAACATATCAATCAAAATAAGCATTAGTAATGTAAATCTTCTCATAATCTTTGCTGTCATAAGTTTTTTTGCATTCTTTTCCATTTCTTGTAACAGTTCGAATTAATAAAGATTTCCTGTCTTCCTGTAGGATTAATTTCTCGATTTTTGGGGTTTTCGAGTTCATATTTCTGAAGATTTGCATTATCGAAGGAGAAATGATAATTGTATTATGCATATAATATATGAAAAAAAAAGTAAGCGACTAATTTTATGGAATGAAATAATTTATTTTTGTTCTTACATTCTTTTTGTTTTTTTTTTCTTTTAATGAAGTATTTCTGAAAAATTAATTTCTATTTTCAGTTTGCTTTAAAAAATGGAATTTGTGAAGACCATCTCCTGCCAGGTTTGCCTATCGATTTTCTGCACTGCATTCATCATCTCCCTATTCCTTTTATAACCTAAGGCTTTTTCTTCAAAGGTATTTGAGAACTTTGGTGCAATGCTTGCAATCAAAACCGACATATGGTGGTTCTTTATCTGGTTGTTTTTGAAGTATATGAACACTGTCGATGCATACTTTCTAGTTTTTGAGAAGGTAAATATTACATAAGTATTCCATGATTATATCCTGAAGTAACTTATTTGGTCTTTAGAAATACAGGATAATTAACAATGAAAAGTGTGTTTGGTAAAATCGATATTTTAGTCTTCAGTGCCATCAAGAGATTCTAGATTAATGCATTAATATATTAACTATTACTGTATGTCACATATTTAGCAGATAGGATTTTGACTGAATCATTCGACTAATTTTTGATTTGTTTCTTGCCATTCAACTTCACTACTTAATTATCTTGCTGGAAGCCGTTAATATTCACCTCTATTCCACTTTTTGTCGTCCGTAATTTCCTATAACATTTCGGAAAACAAATCCTCAGATAATTTACAGGAGTAGAAGCCAAGGATAGTAGGAAACCAAGGAGTAGTTAGCATGTCCTGTACTACGAAAACATTTTTGGACGGAACAGACTTATCTGCTCTGTGCGTGTCAACTAGTATCGATCTTTTCATGATTTCACTGATTTCATTCCATTAACATAAGTTAATTTGGTCACGATAGGTAGAATAAATGCAGCATGAAGCTCCTCAGATTAGCAATTAATAGAAGTATTTTCAACGACTGAAATACAGTCACTACATAGCCATCTTAAGACGGAGCCATATGAATAACCTGAATTCCTTATCATTTAGCAAACTATTTGGAATATTAAAAGTATGTCGTAATTTCATTTATGAATTGTGCTAATAGGAAATTTAAATTTAGCTTGCTGGACAAAAACAAAAGAATAATGCATTGGAGTAATCATGATAGTCATAATCTACATCGATTATTTTTTGAACTCTATCATTCTTCGTTGGAATTTGCTCTTTTCTAATGAGTTTGATTGTCGCTCTTGCTTACTGTATTCACTAAAGGTCTAATGGAAGTCCGATATCATTCCTTAGCTCAGTTCATCTACACGTACCCATCTCATACCTTAAACATACATAACTGTCTTTGTTTCCTGTGACAATTCTATTGTCAAGAAAAATTTTAGGAATTAGCACATATCTTGACAGAATTGTCCCTTTCTTTCCTTCCTTTCTAATTTATTTCTTGTTAGCTCCAAATGAATCTACTAATTCTTAAAATTTCCTTAAACAACATTTCTTGTGTTGAAGGGAAAAAAAGCGGAGGGCGTATTCAATCGTCGGATTGGAATTGCATAGATTGCTTCTTTATTCAAAGAATATTGAACACAAGGAAATATTAATATTATTCAAGGAATATTGAATATTTGCAACGATCTCAAACGACGATATTTGCGCATGATGAACAATGAACTTTGAGCATAAAGGTTACATATATCACATTGAAAGGAAAGAAAAGCAGCTGCAAAGATCGTGAAAACACGTCCCTGACAGGGTCTTCACTGTGAGCTCTCATCAAATAACAAGATATCATTTTCAGTTCAGCTAAAAAAAAGTGTTAACATTCAAACTGTGACATATATATCAGTTGTCATCATTGTCAGAAATGAGATGGCTTGAAGGAACTGGGAAATGTGTGGTGACATTACACATTCAAACAACCACTTTTTATTACAGTCCAAGATTTTACTGCAGTTCATAAATTGTGACTCAAAATTCATTTGCATGTGCTTAGTTTTGAGAAATTGTTTGGAATTTATCTGAAAGCGACATATAATAATATCATTATTGGTAACTGCTGAATGAAAAATCTTCCAGAACAAAGTCGGAACCTGATTTGTAATGTTTCAAGTCCAAGAATTAATCTGTAATTGACTATTATGGAAGCTTTTTAAACTTAGCTGTAAGAATCGTCTCCTATTACACCGTTGTGCTGATGAATTGAAAGCAACTAGGAATGCTTCGATCAATGTTTCTAAACTAATTAAGCATATTGGCGTAGCAATGATAGTTAAGCAAACTGTACATAGCTATTCTTTAATTTCGTTATAGATATGGAAGGGAAGATAAGAGGAACAACCGCATCAAGAGAAATGTTTTCGAAATCAACTCGAACATTTCAATGACCGCAGTGGCACAGCCGTTTTATCCTGTCTTCGCTTTCGATTTCTTCTGATTCTTTTTTAAGCACTGTTTCAAAAGTGGCTTTTGAAATTTGAAAATCGTTTTGAATTAAATAATTTATACAATTCATAAAACTTTTCATTTTTTTCCACCCTCCAAGTATATATTACAAATCGTCGTTTAATTTTTGTTAAATTTCACGACACAGATTTTCAAAACGGCAAATATTCTAAAATATAAAATGCATTAATATTGCTGAGTGGCACTACAAGATATATGTCTGAACAATTAAGTTCATTTTTTCGTTATCCATTAGTTCGTTAGGACTTTTTTGTACGGTTCTAATTTTCCAATAAAATAAACCTTTTTCAAAATGGATTTCGAAAGAATAACACAGCATATGTTAATTCAAATGAAATCTCTATCGAAGAATGTATGATTTGATATTGGTTTTGTGAAATTTTATGCTAGTTGAGAGATTAAACTAAACGATCTGATCGCTGGCTGAAACGAATGTGTGCC